CAGACTTCCCTAACATTCCTCTCATATGTACCACAGGGACTCCATCTACAGTATGCAAAAGTTCTGATTGGGCAGGGCCAGCTCGATTGATGGAGCCTCGGGTGTTGACCAACCAGGTGGCCTTTGCTAAATGCAGCTCCCAGTGTTTTGAGAGTCTCCCCACACAGTGCCTTCAGGGTGGTTTTCAGCAGTCCGTTGCACTGCTCAACTCTTCCAGCAGCTGGTGCATGGTAGGGGATGTGATACACCCACTCAATGCCGTGCTCTTTGGCCCAGGTGTCTACGAGGCCATTCTTGAAATGGGTCCCATTATCAGACTCAATTCTCTCCGGGGTGCCGTGTCGCCACAGGACTTGTTTTTCAAGGCCCAGGATGGTATTCCGGGCAGTGGCATGAGGCACGGGATATGTCTCCAACCATCCAGTACTTCCTTCTACCATGGTCAGTACGTAGTGCTTGCCTTGGCAGGTTTTGGGGAGCGTGATGTAGTCAACTTGCCAGGCTTCCCCATACCTGTACTTCGACCACCGTCCACCATACCATAGAGGCTTCACCCGCTTGGCCTGCTTGATGGCAGCACATGTCTCACAGTCATGGATGACCTGTGAGACAATGTCCTTGGTTAAGTCCACCCCTCGGTCACGAGCCCATCTGTATGTTGCATCTCTCCCCTGGTGACCAGAGGCGTCGTGGGCCCATCGAGCCAGAAATAATTCTCCTTTGTGCTGCCAATCCAGATCTACCTGAGAGACTTTAATCCTGGCAGCTCGGTCTGCCTGCTCGTTGTTACAATGCTCCTCATTAGCCCATTTCTTGCCTACATGAGCGTCTACGTGACGGACCTTCACACTCAGCTTCTCTACCCGGCCAGCGATGTCCTGCCACATCTCTGCCCCCAGATGGGTTTCCCTTGGCGCTGCCAGTTGGCCTTTTTCCATTGCTCCAGCCATCCCCACAGAGCATTGGCTACCATCCATGAGTCAGTGTAGAGATAGAGTCTTGGCCACTTCTCTCGTTCAGCTATATCCAAAGCCAACTGAACGACTTTAAGCTCTGCAAACTGACTTGACCCACCTTGTCCTTCGGTTGCTTCTGCAACTCGCCGTGTGGGACTCCATACGGCTGCCTTCCATTTTCAGTTTGTCCCTACAATGCGGCAGGAGCCATCCGTGAAGAGCACATACCGCCTTTCATCTCCTGGTAGCTTGTCATATGGTGGGGCCTCCTCAGCCCGTGTCACCTTCTCCTCCTCTTCTTCAGAGGATAATCCGAAACTCTCACCTTCGGGCCAATTGGTGATAATTTCCAGAATCCCAGGGCGATTAGGATTCCCTATCTGGGTTCGCTGCGTGATCAGAGCGATCCACTTACTCCACGTGGCATCGGTGGCATGATGTGTGGAAGGAACTCGAACATCCAGCCCAGCACTGGTAGTCGGGGTGCCAGGAGGAGGTGCGCTTCAGTGCCGATTACTTCTGAGGCAGCTCGAACTCCTTCATAGGCAGCCAGGATCTCTTTCTCAGTTGGTGTATAGCTGGCTTCAGATCCTTTGTATCCCTGACTCCAGAATCCCAGCGGTCGTCCTCGAGTCTCCCCAGGCACTTTCTGCTAGAGGCTCCAAGAAGGGCCATTCTCCCCGGCTGCGGTGTAGAGCACGTTCTTCACGTCCTGTCCTGTCCTTACTGGCCCAAGGGCTACCACATGGGCAATCTCCTGTTTAATTTGTTCAAAGGCTTGTTGTTGTTCGGGGCCCCACTGGAAATCATTTTTCTTCCGTGTCACAAGGTAGAGAGGGCTTACAATTTGACTATACTCGGGGATATGCATCCTCCAAAAACCCACAGCGCCTAGGAAAGCCTGTGTTTCCTTCTTGCTGGTTGGTGGGGACATGGCTGCTATTTTGTTAATCACCTCCATTGGAATTAGATGGCGTCCATCTTGCCACTTCACTCCTAGGAACTGAATTTCCTGAGCAGGTCCCTTGACCTTACTCCGTTTAATGGCAAAACCAGCTCTTAGGAGAATCTGGATTATCTTTTCTCCTTTCTCGAAGACTTCGCCCGCTGTGTTCCCCCATACAATGATGTCGTCAATGTACTGTAGGTGCTCTGGAGCCTCACCCTTTTCCAGTGCAGTCTGGATCAGTCCATGGCAAATGCTGGGACTGTGTTTCCACCCCTGAGGCAGTTGATTCCAGGTGTACTGCACACCTCTCCAAGTGAAAGCAAATTGTGGCCTGCACTCCGCTGCCAAAGGAATGGAGAAAAAGGCATTGGCAATGTCAGTGGTGGCGTGCCACTTGGCTGCCTTGGACTCCAGCTCATACTGGAGCTCCAGCATGTCCGGCACAGCAGCACTCAGGGGTGGTGTGACTTCACTGAGTCCACGGTAATCCACCGTCAGCCTCCACTCTCCGCTGGACTTACGCACTGGCCATATCGGGCTATTAAAGGGTGAGCGAGTCTTGCTGACCACCCCCTGGGTCTCCAGGTCACAGATCATCTTATGTATAGGGGTCACAGAGTCTCGGTCGGTGCGGTATTGCCGACGGTGCACTGTTGCTGTGGCTATCGGTACCAATTGTTCTTCAACCTTCAGCAGTCCCACAGCAGAGGGGTCCTCTGAGAGACCAGGCAAGGTGTTCCTCTGTCTCCACAGTAGCTATGCCAAAAGCCCAACGAAGTCCTTTTGGGTCTTTGAAATACCCACTCCTCAGGTAATCTATGCCAAGGATGCACGGGGCCTCTGGGCCAGTCACGATGGGGTGTCTGTGCCATTCCTTCCCAGTCAGGCTCACTTCAGCTTCCAGTATAGTCAGCTATTGGGATCCCCCTGTCACTCCAGAAATGGAGATGGATTCTGCCCCTACGTATCTTGATGGCATTAAAGTACATTGTGCGCCGGTGTCCACTAGGGCCTTATATCTTCGTGGCTCTGATGTGCCAGGCCACCGAATCCACACTGTCCAATAGACTCGATTGTCCCTCTCCTCTACCTGGCTAGAGGCAGGGCACCCCTAGTCCTGGTCATGGTACTCACTGTGCTCTTCTTGTGAGTATGACCTGGAGGTCCCTTCAAGAGGATCAGACGTATCATCATTCCTGTACCGTCTGGAGTCTTGCCCATGAGAGACTGGAGCAGCGTTTACCCTTGAAGAGTTCTTTATGGTATTTGTTCCTCTTTTCAGTTCACGTACCCGGGCTGCTAAGGAAGAGGTGGGTTTCCCATCCCACTTCCTCATATCTTCTCCGTGCTCATGGAGGTAAAACCATAGATCGCCACGTGGAGTGTACCTTCTCTCCTTAGCTGGGGGACACTGGCTCCTAATAGCAGAGACTCTTGTTTGTCCTGGCGAGATATGGAAAATCCCTTACTTAATTTCTTCTCTTAGCTTCTGGTGTCCCTCTTCAGTCTTCTCTTCCAGGCTTTGGACGTGTTCAACCGGTTTGGTTTCCACAGATGAGACGTGGGCTCGTAATGGGGCGGTGACAGTGTCTTCATAAATCCTGAGTTTACTAACCAACGCGCCCACCTTGTCCTCTCCCTCCCTCCATTGCAGCGTTTCTAAGTAGTGGGAATACATTTCTGGCCCGAGTCGTGCAAACTTTAACCACATCTGGGAGGTGCACTGTACACCATCTGGACTTCTGGGAATCTTTCATCCTCTGAAAAGATTATCTCCAGTACAACTAACTCCCTTAAGCACCGGATACCTTGTTCCATCGTGTTCCACTGTCCTTGCTGTATGTGGAGGTCCTCCTTACAAAGGTATCTCTCCCTCACACTGTACAACAGTCGCCGCCAGAGGCTGAGAGTTTCCTGCCTCCTTCCAATCCCTTGATCAATGACTACATCTCGAGACAGGGATCCCAGCTGTCTGGCTTCACTCCCATCTAGGATTGTATCGTTAGCTGCGGCATCCCAGATTCGGAGCGAAGCCAGACAGCTGGGATCCCTGTCTCGAGAT